TCAAGACAACAGCATTCTGTATGACCATGTATAGAAGTTCCGAGAGCTCCGTTCCATTATGGCAATAGAACCACTACCAGAGGCAGTGATGTTTACTGTGTTTATCGGAAGACTCAATAATGTTCCTTCTAAGACTGTAATCTTCCGCCGGAGCCCGACGATCCTGGAAGATGTAATTATCGATGTATTGCGTGAGGTCTACCGCCAACGTAATATATCGATCAATCCGATGCAGGAAGTGGCTGCTACTACTGGAAATCAAGATCTAATGAATCTCAGCGCGGTGACTGTCTGTAGGCAGCACATTCGATCATATGGATGTCAGCGATCTCGTCACATCCGCCGTATTAGTCCACTTGGGATACAAAATTATCAGTACGGTTCTTGTTGTAGTGTTTCCAAGCCACGTGGTACCAATATTACGAAGCGTTCGAGAAACGCAGGTACCCAATAGATGGAGAGCGGTCTACTGGGGCAATCGAAAAATCTTGTGCATGTCGTTAACGAAGGACATCGATTATTTAAGGGCTCAACACTCACGAATGAGTGTTACTCACTCGTGAGTGTTTTCTATGTTTCATCCGCGGATTTGGTTGTACGAACCCATGATCAGGAACGAGTGTTGATTGTCTGGACGGAACCCAAATAATATTGCTGGGTGTACAATACAGACATGAAATTCGTGGTCTTCTTCTAATACGTGTGACAGGTCTGATGGCGCAAAAATACGCGGATCGAGTCATAACTCGAGCTTCCATTCGACATAAAAGTTCGTCAAACTTTATGGTGCCACCACCACAACGGTCGTGGAATATGCGCTGATGTTCGACTTCACGGTAGCGCAAATACTCTGGACGACTGGGCCCGTCGATAAGCACTTTATAGCAATCACATCCGCCCAAGCTGGTTGTTTGATGCCAGGTTATTGCACATCGTGCGAAAAGGCCGTTGGACGTGGAATTAGAACATCATCCATTTCAATGATGGCAAAGGTTTCGTCGCAATCTCAGATTGAGGTGTAATTTTACTCAGCATTCGTCGTCGGCGCAAGTCATCTTCGATGCGTTTAATTTCGTGCGAGATCACGAATGACCGAGTATCAGAGTCCAAAAAAAGTATTCTGGGTGGGTGAGTGGTGGTGCAATGGGTTCAGTACCATTCCACAGGTTGTGTGAATCACTGAAATCTGTTTATGGTTAGCATTAACTATATATCTTGCATTGTTGTATATTCCTCAATTCTGTTCTGTTACATCGGAATCGAAAAAGGTCACTTTAGGGAGGCTTTAAAGTTTGTTGGCCATTATAAATGTCGCTACATCTGTTCCTCCTCGTTCGCGTAAATTGACGGCACGTTGGAAATGATCAACATGAATTGTAGTGTATAAAGCGATTTATGTCTTCCATAATATGTGCGTGTATACGGACGTGCAATTTTTCGTTACAGAAGACACCCGGTATGTACACAGGATAATGCTTGATACTGTTAGCAAGTATTTAAGCCGAAGTAGCCAGATGATGTTGCCTTTCAAAGTCTCGCGGAAGTAAAGTTGGGTTTCTCCAAAAGTGGCATTCAAGGCTTTGGACGGACTTCAATACAAGGCATACATCAAGGGATATGTAATCTTCACTTCACCACTTGCGATCGCAAACTTGTGTCATCGATGCTGAGTTGACTTGACGTAAGTCAGCCAGAACAAAGCAATAAACCAACCATTTTTACGAGAAGGGTTGGTATAGTCTTGTACCGCCAGGCTCATAAAATACCAGATATCGAGGGCTAAAGCAACCTCCTAGTTTGTCTCGACATTGTCTTAAACCAGGCCTATCGCCCGCTGTCTGGCCTAGATGATCATCCATGATAACATTGAAGTCACCTACGACAATGTGTCAACTAAATTTAACCGAGTCCACGATTCGGCCCAGTGCTTCAAAGTAAATAGGAAGAGCTCATAGATACCTCCAAGAAACATTGATTCATCATATGCATACACCAGGCATCAGTACCCGAGCTCACCTCCAAAACCTGTCTGCAGTAGTTTTAACGCATCTTTGGTTCTAATTTGTAGACGCTATCCATGGGGTCGATAACCTTGCCAAATGTCAAGAAAAAAGATAGCAAAAGTCCTACTCCATGTCAGAATAATGGAGACGTGGAAGCAGCGTGCCCTAGCGCTTGCTACGGAAATGAATTTCCACAATTTTGCATGAAGTCTTCTTTGATAAATCTTGTCTTGATCGCAACCAACTGATACGTAGAAAAAAGGTTGCTCACACATAGTGAGTGAGGGTTTGTTTATCCCATTCATCTTCAGATATTTCTTGAAAAGCCTATGTCTTTTTTGTGTTGATGGCATATATAGCGAGGTCTGGTGAATCCATGTCGCTAAGGTACTTATAGCCATAAACATAATAAGCACGGTAACTTTGTCTTACAGATGTTCGACAGCGTCTATATGTGCGTAGCACATATATCTCTATAACAAAAAGGTATCTTGTCAAATTCTCGTTGAAACTAGCTGTTACGGTGCCAACACTTGTATTCTCAGTGAATCGGCGTACATAGATGGTGGTGAAGATACCAGGAATGGGTCACTGAAATAGCATTAGCATGCTGTATTTTGGGCCTTTTCAATACTGCCTCTGATATCGCAACGTATTCGGGCAACTTGTCGCAAGAGCGAGAGCGTGGCTGGGACAAGAAGTCACCCAGTGTCCGGTGATGAGTAGCCTAGCGCGTTTAGGTTTAGTGAGCGATAGGCAGGTCACGTAGATCACGGGCCGATCTTGATGACTGTACGCCATGAACTGATGTAGATGACATATCGAGTGGAGTATAACGACATGGTTTGCAACATCCGAATGTACAGCGAAAGTCGATTATGCCACTTTATCAGTTATCGAATTGAGTCACACTGTGACAGCACCTTCTTGGAGACCTCTTCTCGACGAACAGGGAATCGGCTTTGAGGTACACCACTCCAACGGATGGGAAGAGCACAAACAGGCTCCTGTCAAGCCTATGAGAAACAGGACGGACGGTGCTAGCCAACGTACCTGCATTGTGCACCCCTGTAGCTTCCCCAGCGGAGATCTTATCAACGAAGGTGCTCTTGGCGCGTGCCATAGGGAAAGCCGAGTGGACAGACGGTGAGTATGAAATCGCGGTGGCTAAAGCGGATCTCATTTCTTTGAACGACAGCATCAAGACTCGCGGAGACTCACATGGATTCTTCTGCCTCGAATGGATGCCGCTGTGTGGCATCAAGGCAACAGGATGGCTCTTCGACAGCAAGGGACGTCATTACGACCTCAATCGATCCAAGTCGACAGTAACAGCTCAAGAGCTACGCGATCTAGTGCAGTGGCGATGGGTGAAACACGGCTGTGTCAGATTCAGATTCCCATCGACAAGCACCGTTGTCACGACCCCAACTCTCCGATCCTTTGACCATCTCTGTTCGATTTTCTAAATGAACTTTTCAGAACTGCTCCATAGACCGAGGACTACTGTTGCGCTTCGATCGACGGATCCAGAGGTGGAAAAATATCATGACTGGTTCCCGGACGACGACAGCACGACACGCCATCAAGATACAGCCATCACAACCAGCATTCATCTCTTCGAGAGACCACAGAACGCCGACGAAGTAGCGATACGAGATCTTGATGGCATTCCTGTTCCCCACCATTCACACCCGCGACTGTCTCGAATAGTCAGCTTGAGACGCGGACGAAAGGGTTGGAAATCCAAACGCAAGACACTCAAGCATCATTGCCAACAACAGCGACTGAAGGACGGCATCAAGAAGAGAGATGGACGAATGATTAGCTCAGCAGGACCTACGAACGAGGCGACCAAGCTTGAAGCCGGCCTAGACAACCTGAAGTGGACAACAATTCTAGCTGTTCCTGGGACAACCTTGTCAGCTCATGAGATCATGTTGAGACTCAAGGTCCGGAATCTAGGTAACATGTGGAACCGAACAGCAAACTACCTGTCGTGTCCACATGAGACATGTTCAGGGTCGGACAGAACTCACCTGATTCACGTCTTCTGGACATGCCCCCATGCCAAGAGATTGTGAACCCACCTGATCAGAGAATGGGAAGGCATCGGTGTCAGCTTTCAGGGCAAGCCTCTAGCAGCAATCTTCGCACTTCGACTACCAACTTTCTCAGCTCGATTGGCGCTCGCAATAGTCCAACAGCTCAGTGATCTGTCTGCGGAGGAAACAACGACCTTGATATACCCAATGGCCAACATGGTGTGGCAATATGTGTGCGTGATGTGTGTGGAGGCTGTCTGGCACAACCGAATCCAGGTCATGAGCGGTAACCCCTTCGTACGCGACAATCCGGAGACGCTTCTTAGAATAGAAATGGCTTGCCTATCGACGGGACTCCGGGACCTCTGCATTCTCTTCGACACTCTTTGCCCTAAGACGACGGACTCAGCAGTCGAAATGCTCAAGGCGATCGTTGCCATGATCACGAACAAAGCGGATCTCCCAGCAAACCCTCTACCCAGCATGGACTCGGCATACCTCCACTTCTTGGTCCAGGCGGTTCTGGTTCGCTAATGGTGCGCAAAACTCGCGAGGTCTCGATCCCTACGATGATCTGGTGGGCGTCTATTGCTTATGGCCATCCAACTACCACGAACAACAAAGCAGAATATGAGGCCTGTATCATGGACTTCGCTGCGCAGTGTCACACGGATCCTCGCCGCTCTACGTGATCGGAGACAGCTCAATGATCATCGGACAGATGCGAGAACATTGGCCTCCAAAAAAGCACACCCTCTGGCGTAGTTATGATTAATGTTATTTCGAGATTCGCAAGCTACAGGTCGTCGGCTGGTGCAATCACCCAATGGCACACAATAAAATGGCAGATCGGGCAGCAAACGTCGCAATGGATTCATGTAGATCCCAACAATGCGAAGCAAGCACCTCTCACCCAACCTGGGAGGCCATTGCGGAACACCTCAACCAAGACCTACAATACTGGATCCAGGAGTTCGGTTGCAAGTCTCAGCTGTCTTGGATGGAGCAACGCTCTAGAGAAGCTAAAACTCGGGACTTCTTCCGAGAACCCAGCCAGCGAGCCGCCTTTGGCGACTGATCGCCGGCTCCCTCCTAAACAAAACGCGTAATAACATAGTGTAGCTAGGAGAAAGGATATCGTCGTTCATCTACATGTAACACAATATAACTGACCTTCATCATCATCATCACACATTGACAGCAGCTCGCACTCACACTCAGCTACTTGTATCTGAGACATTAGATGGCGTGCGTGCAGACAAAATAGGCAAAAACATACGCGGTTATGTTTGTGGACATGATGCTTAACAATGCATGATTATTCGCCCAAGTTAAAGATCGCCGTTGCTCGCTGTCTGGAGCGAACGAACTAGATAAACATGAGAATACGTTAAAGTACACAGTGCGATCTTGTAGTTATTTAAGCACATCGTATTATTCACAGGCCGAGCGTGCGTTGCAATCAATAAACCAGTTAGATATGTTTCGGTCGAATATGTTGACTGGAAGGCGTTGTAAAACAACAATATTAGGTTTGTCGAAGAGCAAACACTTGTCGAAGAGCAAACACTTCTAAATAGTTCCCAAAGTGTCACATACCTTGAACGTCACACTCCCAAGAAACCAAAATCCTAGTCTGACCTGCAAACAAAGCCACAGCGCCGATGACAGCAGTACCTCAAGCACAATACACGCTTGAGCGACAAGGAATCGATTCCCAAGGAGGAGGAAGAAGGATAGGCCGGACTTGTAAGGAAGAAAAACAACTTTGAGATCTTAAAGGTCACTCACATTTGAATTGAAATGAGGTAGTGGTTTCTGGATACATGATAAACACCCCTAGTGCTCCAGAAATTTTACTAATAGAACATTGGGTTCCTGATTGATACAATAGAAGATTGATCCTCAACTTTAACTTATACAAGATCTTGGGTGAACGGACCCTGAAAGTCGAAATCTGAGCTTCAACTTTCGAGGATAGTATCCAGTAGAAGTAACTTGCAGCGGGGCTGCCGTAGCTTAGCGCTTGAGAAAGCGTACTTTAGGTCACCAACCTATCGTTTTTACAAGAACGAAGTATAAGTTATCGAAACGCAATCCGCTTACTCCAAGAGTAATTATTGCCTTGACAAGGCTAATTGACTCTTAGGTTTAAATTCAATAATGATTTTAATTCATATTTTTTTCTAATTTTAAAAGTTTAGATCTTCCTGAATGTGCTAAATATAAAGTAAAATCTAAATACATGCATAACTACTGGCTACCTTGCCCCGTACCGTATATTCATGTTTGGATGTGGTCACACCATGCACATCTCGTGTGACACACACTCCTGTAATCAGAGTTCGTGTAAATTTGTTACATAACTTGCTTACACTATCTACTCCAAATGACAGAGACACGTCGATCTCGTCACCAGTACGGATCGCTAAGTAGGAACAAGTATTCTGTATCTACAGAATGTTTATGAATTTTATATAAGATGACTTCGCGGATGTATGACTGCGTTTAAATTTACAAACGTGAACATTGAGGGCTAATCTATACAAAGTCACGAGAGCTTTACACGTGTGCGACCGGATCTGTAAGACAGCGCTGATGAAAAACAGTCCTTCAAACAAAACGCACACTTGTGCGATGAGGACGCGATTCCTGACGTGGAAGAAGAAGGACGATTCCGATTTGGATGGATGAAGAACGACTTAAGACCTTAATAATAAATTAGCAACTGAATTTGAAAAGGTTATGGTTCCTAGCTACTTTCAAAACACCCCAAGATATCCTAAAGGTTTTACTTATAAAACCTTGGACTCCTGATTTATAAATAATGAGTGTACCGAGGTCAATCCTCAGATTCAGATGATACAAGATCTTGGGTGTACGGAGCTTGGACTTCAAAAGCATTAACTTCAACTTCGTGGAAAAAACACGGTAGTAAGTACTGGCTTACGCCACCCACTTCGACAGAGACACGTCGATCTCGTCACCAGTACAGATCCCGAAGTAGGAACCAGCATTCTGTATCACACAATGTGTTTGTGACTTTATATAAAAACTCACGAATGCATTTGGAAACACCAAACTGAAAGCTTTTTTATTACTTCTTACAATGAAAACAAAAGGTACATGAATGCACCTTGATGTAATGGCTGAGTATAACCCATTACATCACCCCCTCCTTAAGTCAACAGTACGTTGATACTTTTGCAGACCTTATTGAAACAGTTCAATTCCGATCAATAATAGGGCGATCAAGTGAACAAGCTAACATACAATAGCATTCTTCGCCTGAACGGCAAGAACGGTTCTTGATCTCGTTGACGTTTCCTCCATTCTCAACCGAGTTGGAGACGAGAAGTTCTTCATGGAATTTCGTTCGCGTCGGACCAATAGCCGTTGATGATCCGACCTGGCCCATCTCAGCTAAGCTTCACTCTTGGCGGACATTTGTTTGCCTTGAGAACGAGAACGACACGGATCGTCTGCTTCGATGAGTAGGCACCGGCAGAACTCCCAGTCACGACCGAGCACAACCAAACGCTGGTGGTCGTAGTGTTGGCTATAGCAATACTACAAACGATTCTCGTAGCTGCGGAGCACGTCGGGAACATCAAACACTAAGGCCTGACGAGGTTCCTGCGTGTACGAATCCGATGGATGACCGCGCCACCAATCTCTGTAGAAGCGTTGATGGTTCAACTACTTCTTTTCACGACGACGAGTCGCTCGATCCTCGTGAACAAATATCATTTCAACCACCCAACGACGCTCTCGACGAGAGTGTAATTGCGGAGGTGGGGTTGAACGTGAAAGCGATTGAGCTACGCTGGAGTTGAAATGCGCTATTCGACGCTTGAAGATCGCTGCGAAAGTCGTTCGAACCTTGTTGCAGAGCAGAACTCGACACTCGACGTTTAGACAGATGGTTCCGCCTAATGCTCGGTTTTGGAGTCCCGTATCGAACTGCAGTTTCAGCTAATTCATGTGAGCTTGTTTAACTCAGAAAGGAAGAGAAACAATGTGAGTTGGCTCACAAAGAACTGCTGTGCTCTATTGAAGAGGTAGCCTCTCCTGCGTGGTGAATACCAATCTCACCATCAAGCGTTGAGTTCAGTGATGGCTCAATCCTTCGATGTTCTTCAACGCTTGTACGCCGAGAGAAATATCCAGGGTGAGGAGACGGTAGCTCTTCGCGGACAAATGGAGAAACTCCATCATGAGCTCGATCATCTATCAAAGGAAAAGTAGGCTAGGCAGATCCAGTCGGATTATACGACTTTTGCCTACCCACATGAAATGTAGGGTGTAGGCGCATGCGTGTAGGGATGACTAATGTATACGCATCACCATTGCATTTCATCATTTTGAACGGTCCAATAAAACTTGGGTAAAGCCACCTGCTGCTTCCTCAGTTGCATGCAGCTTTGTCGTACAAAGAATTTCAAGAGCATTGACCGTATGTACCTTCTTGTTTTCCTACCGTTTTGAAATGCTTGTTCTTTTTGCAAATCCTGAGCTTTTGCAATTGCGTCTCGAACAAACCAAACAACGGCTTGTCTCTTCACAATAAAGTCATCGACGTGCTGTTTCTAACGACTTGTCTAAGGTCTCACTGAAACTTCGCTTTTACTTCTGACACAGCTTTAAGCTCTAAAGCAATAATATGCGCCCCACCTCTCCCAATACGGAGTCAGCTACTCTAGGATGAATACCATAGCTCACATAAAATGGTGAATGATCTGTCTAGACATGCGTGGAGCTGTACTACGCAAACTCTGCAAGAGGGGGAAATTCACTCCACTCTTTGAACGACGTAGCGTAACTAAGCAGTACGTCCTCCAGGACTAGATTCACACGCTCTATCTGACCGTCCGTTTCGGGGTGTACCGCTTTTGACATGGACAATATCGAAAATATTTTTTTTCGACTTTTGATAAAAAAAGAAGTGATTTACTCGATGAGAATGGTCCAACCAACACTTTGACGTAAAATCGTGGTCACGGTCAAATGCGATGTCAACAAGAAGGCCATGCAGAGAGAAAACAGCGTGTTCAGAAACCTTAGCTGTCTTCTCGACAGAGATCTTGTCAGAAACAGGTGCAAGATGAGCCATCTTGCTGATCCGGTCCACTTATACAAGGATGCCACTGCATCAATGTGTCTCACACAGAAGTCTGAAAATAAAGTCCTTTCTCACATAATTCCAGCTGTCAGTTGCAACTGCCAGCAACCGAAGTTGGGCTTGAGTGAAACCCGATGGTTTCACACTTGGAAAAATCTCATAATTCCTCACCTACTTGCGCACACTTATACATGTGTGGCTAATAGCAATTCCGGGACAGACTAAGAATCGTTTACCCATGTCCTAGAACGCACCTGAAGGGCTCACAGGGTACTCATATTTAGGACGAAGAAACAAAATCTCGTCATTTGGAACAATAACTCGTGCTGTATCCCGTGTTCCTTTGCATAGTACAACAATCCCTCCAAAATGGTGAACACGCGATCTTGTGTGAGACGGAGGATCTGCAATGCTTTGTCAGAAGAGGTATCGGAATGCCTCAACAATTCCTGACATGTCTCATCAGACTTGTACCCTTCGACAATTTCTTCTCACACTGTAGTCGTAGATCGCACTCTGTTCGTCTGAACATCTTCGCATTGTTGACATGACTCGTGTATGTTTTCGCTGACGTACTTCGAATCATAGTCAAGATGTCTTGACAAAGCATCGGCAAAGAAGTTCGTCTTGCCTGGCTTGTATTGTACAGCACAGTTGTACTTCGCAAAGATTGAAGGCCATCGAGCCATTGTTTGCGATAAATCGGGAGTCTTTACTACCGCACGCAGTGTGGCATGATCGGTATCGCAAAGCGTTCCTTACCAAGCAAGTACACACAGAACATGCCCAAAGCATACTTCATGGCTAGAAATTTCTCGAAATGAACAGGATAGTTCCGTTCCGAGGTCCGTAGTAGTCGCGACTGATACTATACAACTCGCACTCGACCCTCATCATCGCGTCTCATCAACGCACATCCGACGGCATGACCACTCGCATCGCAGACCACATTAAAAAGCTTATCGTGGTTTACAATCGCATAAACAGGATCGTCTCTCAAGCTCTTTTTTACTTCGGCAAATAACGCCAGATGAATTTTTGACCATTCCAACTCAACATTTTTCCTTAAAGGATCGTTAGGGGCTGCACCAACGCTGCTTAATAGCCCGTTTATTTGTGCAAATTATTGGTCAAGCCCAACCATTGTCTCAGCTGTTCCACATTGTTTAGCACAGGCTTGTCATTGATAGCTTGACTTTCTCCGGAACTACACGAACGCCATTCTTGCCCACGAAGCAGCCGAAAACGTAGGTCTCTGGTGCAAGCAAAATGCACTGCGGTTGGGGTCTTTACTTTCGTCTTCTTAGGCTTGTCCTATAATTGCGGGGGGGGGTCATCACAAACCACAATATCACTTGGGGCATATGTGTTTTCTTCAGCAGATGCGTATGCCCATACTGTCTCGTTTTTCGTCCTGCAGCTCGAATTAGCGCTGCACGCCTCTTTGACGACTGTTGTCATATTCATCGAATCAATGCTTGGCTGGCAACGCTTCGACCATGGCATGCCTAAGATGATTTTAAAGTTCTCCTCGAGGTTGAGTAAAACTCCACATCGAAAATCTTCAAGCTTTACTGCCAAACGAATGACTTGTTTTGGCATCTTCATACCAGATCCATCGCTAAACGAATGATCATATCTTCTTTCACATCGGGATCCGCCTACGAAGCGGGAGATTGCGGGTTCGAGTCCCGTCGGAGACTTTACGTTAGTGAAGTCGAACACCATGACCAGTCAAAGTTCGTACTCGTAGTGGTTTCTCAAAACAAAAACATTTTGGACATTAAAGTCGCACTTTGTCTGACACTTCGATCACTCATGGTGGAACCTGCATATGCATCATTCACGTTGGGGCCAGATTTCTGTCACCCATAGTACTCTTCTTGGGCCCAGTTGGGAGCCCGTCCCTACTGGTCGCTTCCGTTTTTTGTAGCGTTGGGAGCGTTTAAACCGATTCCTTTATAGCGCCCGCGGTTATCCAGAAGAACCCCCTGTGTTTTTTGCCGACTCGGGAAATCCACTCTACAGTTCCGGGCAATATGACCCGGCTTCCCACAGCGAAAACACTTTCTATCGTCGCGAGGAGGCTCAGATCCAGGCGTGGAGATGTATGAGATACCCATTGGCTCTAGACTATCACTTGTACTGCCGACTGGCGCGCTGACTTAGTGCGAAGCCATTGAACTTGGCTTGCCCGATGCTGAAATCTTCTTGTATCGCATGGTTGATAGCATCATTTAGCGTCTTAGGATACTCACGGAACAATTATTTTCGGATTAGACCATCAATCAAGCTCGCTATGAACATTACGGCTTGCGTTGAAACGTCAATTGGGTCGTCGACGATGCTCGGTACCAAGTAGCGAGCACGATATGCATACGAGTGTAGGTCTTAACAACCTTGACGAAGCTTCAACAACTCAGCACGGGCATGGTACTCACTCTGTGGTGGTTCAAACGCTTTCTTTAGCTTGGCTTTGAAGTGCTCTCAGCTAGGAAAGCAGTCAAGATAGGCTAAACGCTTCCCATGCGCCCATCCCTTCGCACGACCCGCAAGGTTGGGCATTGCAAACAGCTCTTGCTACAAGGGCTCTCGCAATTGTCTTGCAGTGATTGCTGCATCCAACTCGACAACCATGGCGATAGAAGCTCGTACGGTACAAAGACACGTTCACTTTCAAAGTCATCCTTTACGAAGAAACAGGGGTTGATACCTGCTTCCGGGATTCCATAATCTCAAGAATCATGAAAGTGACGGCTGTGGACTTCTGGTTCTTCGAAAAAAATTACAGTAAACTGGCTATTACAGCATCTCCGACGACTTCTCGCGTCCGCTCGAATGCCATCAACTTATGTGAAGACAAATGAGGAATTTTCTCATTCGTCAAAACTCAGTTTGCAGCTCTGATGAACCGAGTGGAACTTCAATTCCTTCCATGTCACTCGGACGAGGACAGGAGTATAGCTTGGACTAGAATGCGCGCCATGCTCAACGGCCGCGTCATCATTTCAATATCAAGTTTCGTTTAAAAGACCTTTCGAAGTGCTTCCAGGTATAAGAAGGCGCCGTTTAGAAATATTCCCTCGAATACAACACACACGCTTGTGCGACGAGGAATTGATTCCCGAGGTGGAGGGAGAAGGACAGGCCGGACTTGTAGGGAAGACAAAACGACTTCGAGACCTCAAAGGTTACTCTTATTTGAATGTAAATGAGTTAGTGGTTTCTGGATACATGATAAACACTTCTAGATCTCTCGGAGAGTTTACTAATTGAACATTGGATTTCTGATTGATACAATAAAGGTGTACCGAAGTTGATTCTCAGCTTCAATTCATAAAAGATCTTGGGCGTACGGAGCGGGGCTACCTTCTTTGAATGACATAGACACGTCGGTCTCGTCACCAGTACAGATCTCTAAGTAGGAACACGTATTCTTTCACACAGAATGGTTGTGACTTCATATAAGATGTCTTGTATGCATATGAGAACGCCCAATAATTTTTTTTTCAAATTTAGGTACACAAACGTACCATCATGTAATGGCTAAGTGTAGTCAATTACAGTATCTAAATGCGACGAATTGCAACCGCAGTTCGTAGCTACAAAAATTACACTCATAAATCCATTCAGAGCCAAGTCTTTTGCCATCTAAATTGCAGGGGTGGTGGAAAATAAATCATGGAAAATATACCAACGTCATTAGAAAGGTGCGGTTGCCTACGGTGGAGTAGGCCGGATGGCGAGCGCACAAGTCGGTGGCAGAGGAAAGTGCGAAGATAACGCTGTTGTTTGACGAGGTCTCGAGAAATCTTTGTTAGTAGGCGTGACGGACGCGTTTGAGGGGCCAAAGCAAATATGGAGAATGACGGATAAATTGAGCTGTGAGGAAGTCGGCAGGGGGCTTTTCTTGCAGGCTTGCGTAGGAGAAGGATACTTAGATAACAGAGCGGTAACTAAGCCGGTGGGTTCGCCAGTCTGTTATCAGTATTTAGAAGGAATACTCACACTACAAAATACTAAGGGTCTTCACGCAAGGTAAACCTGGCGTAGACACCGCTTGTGATCTGGGGCAACGTCGGATCGTATCTGGCTTGGAGTAGAGGAAAGGTTGCAATGCGCAATACGTTTTCCACTAGCAACTAGAGCTAATCTTGATGCAAGTTACTTTTTGGTCGGTGCTGTCCACTACTGGGGAGAAGGACTGTCAACATTAGAATTTCAAATTTATATTTTTGTGCTGTAAGGTGAATATAACATTTTAAGTTTAAATGCCTACATATATTCTATAACTGTTGGGATTACACCACTGAAGGCTTGTTGGACAGGCGGATGACGTCAGATGGTTACGGTTACGGTTACGGTTACATTTA